CAATAGCTTTTTTGTGAGTTGTTTTGTTTTAATCAAGAGAGAAGTTAAAGCAAGAGAGTAAGTTCCCCATATAGACCTCGCTCCCAAGGTAATTCCTCAAGTTATTTTTAGCACACTCCTGGTTTTCAAACCTACAGTAGAGTCCTGAAATAGCCAATCATATCGAGAATCATATCGAGGATTATATTCACTTGGAAAGCCCTAGCCGTTTTACATGTATTTTCATCCTCCATTAAATCATCGACGTAACAGCTGTTGTGTCTAACCGCCAAAGAATTGGGTACTAGGTCTAAAATTAACTTGAGAGTGATTTCAATGGTAAAGCCCACTTTAACCCCCTTACCCTTCATCCACTCTTGGTTGTAATCTGTTTATATTCCGCGCGTTCTATTGTGTCGTTTTAGTCAATTATCTCATGTTGTTAATCAAGAACGCCGTACTCTTTTGTTTTCTTTAAGGAATTTGAGGGGAATAAGGATCGATTCTCAATTGTGAGTCACAACCTAACGACTCCTATTATTGCACGCTACATCCGAATCAGTCCATTGAAATACCATGTCTGGATTTCATTGAGGGCTGATTTCTACGGTTGTAAATCAGGTACGGAGCTGTCATCATCGAAAAGTAACAAAGGAAGCTGGTGTAGCTATATCAGTAGCAGCATTAGTAACGTTAGCAGTAGCTGCATCGGTCGTGGCAGTAATTGCGGTAGTGTTCGGGGTAGTGGTTGTGGTAATTTTCGTGGTTGTTGTAATTTTCGTGGTTGTGGTAATTTTCGTGGTTGTGGTGGTGATACGGTTGCACTTGCAGCAGCCGGCTGCGTTAGCCAGCAGCGCTAGCCAGCAGTAGTAGCAAGCAGCAGTAGCCAGCAGTGGTTGCTGGTAACGGTAGCTAGTAGTAGTAGCCGGCAGCGGCACCAGCAGCAGCAGTGATGGGGATGGTGGCAGTAGCAGTAGTGGTAGTGGTAGTGGTTTGCAGTAGTGGTAGTAGTGGTGGTTGTGATTGCGGTTGGGGTAGCAGTAGCAGTAGTGTTAGCAGTAGCAGTAGTGACTGTGGCAGAGGTAATGGGTGCATCAGCCACATTGGTAGTGGCAGCGGCAGTGGCAGTGGCAGCAGTAGAGGTAGTGGTGGTGAGGTTGGTGGTGATGGTGATGGGGATGGTGGTGGTAGTGCTGGCAGTAGCAGTAACAACAGTGGTAGTGGTGGTGGTGGTGGTATTGGTAGTGGTAGTAGTTGTGGTAGTGGCTGTGAGAGTGGTTGTGGTTACGGTAGTGTTGGCGCTAGCGCTAGCCCTAAGAGGAGCAGTAACCGTAGCGGCAGTGGTAGTTGTAGTGGTCTTAGTAGTGGCAGTGGTTGTGGTGGCAGTAGTGGTAGCAGAAGCGGTAGCTGTAGCCGTATCGTTAGTGGTAGTGGTAGAAGTAGAGTTAGTGGTAGTCGAAGTCGTAGTGATGTGGTGGTGGCAGCGGCAG